CTGCCCGAAACAGCATGCTGCCTCTTTGCTGGTTTTCAAAATCCACCGAGGCCTCCATGGTCTCAATTCGTCAGCTAGTCGTTTGGAACACCGGGTTCCAACACGATTGCTGAGCCAAAAGACTCCCACACAGTCGCCCCTCCCCGCGACTTCTGAAGAGAACTTCAGCTATTGAAATCTGTCCTAACCATATTGCCACTCATGGCTCCATTATTCCTTTTGATCCTCTCGATCATAACAGTCCGATAACCTGTCGCCACTGAATCTAATACGAAAAGTGAATGCTACCAGAACCACTGTAGTCTTACATCGCGTCTGGTCTCCAATGACCTACCGCTTCCCGAATCCAACCATATTGTGGCCTACTCATATCCGTGCGGGCTTACCCGCCCTGGTCTAAACCATTTGAAGGAATCCGTGAGTGAATCATAGATCTGTCACATTCTCACTGCCGAATAGGGACCGGTGAATGCTACGGGCCACCCCGCAGTCTTACAACACTTATACACTTCCTGCTAACTAGTGAATGCTACGGGCCACCCCGCAGTCTTACAACACTTCTACACTATATGTTGACTAATGAATGCTACGGGTCACCCCACAGTCTTACCACAGGGTGAATGTTATGGCTATCCCGCAATCTTACAACACTTTCCAAGCTTTCTGGCCGCTGGTGAATGCTACGACTATCCCATAGTCTTACAACACTCTCCACGCTGTCTCAACCGCTGACCATGGTCTTACCGCTGATTACCAATCCTAACACATCCAAAGTCGAGCACACACACGGTCTAACATCCCAAACTAAACTCATGTCCTGACTGGAACACCAACCTGGTTCCCCATAGTCTGCTATCACACACCAATCAGATGTGGTCCCAAATTCGGGAAGTCTTTCTAAACTTCCCATCCACACTATTCCCCATTCGAACAGCCACTTGGGTCGCTTTCCTTTCCCCGATAGGGATACGAGCTCATCCCAATTTCACACTTGCTTTTGACATGGATACCCGAACAGTTCTCCCCCACTTTGATTCGATTAAGTCTCCACGACATACAAGAAATAGAAGGATTTCCGATCCTTCTTACCTTCCAATGATTGATTTGCTGACAACCGACGCTTACCAATGCTAGCGATCCATTACTAGCCAAACCTAAAATACCACACAACCCCTGAAGACTAGATGAAGACTTTCTGAATCCCAGGAATACGGATAACTCCAAATGCCTTGAAATGATATCGTACTCAAATCTTGAAGTCCAGTTAACCGATGCTCATAGCAAAACTTCAGTACTAGACCACTTCCCTTGGCGACCCCATGAGTCGATCTGAGCATAATGACTGAACCCACCGAAACCTGTCGAGAGTTTATAACCACCCTGCTGAACCCAGACCGCAGACCTTCCACATAATGCCCCTGAACCGATCTCGACCATCAACCAAGATAACACTAAACACTCCCAACCCGCAAAAAAAGGAAACAACCTCTTACTAACCACTTAATAATTCACGGTATGCAATTGGCATATAACATTTCTTGAAAATATAATCCAAACACAAGCAGAGAGATAAACCCAGAGATACACTTACCCAAACCGATGCAAGATTCCACCAACAAAATACTGATAAAAGTTATGAAGAAGCAAGATATAACATACCCGCAATATCGCCTGAAGAAACCCTAAATCTCTCTTCCTGCTGAAGTACTTGTGATGAAACCTGAGTTGCCTCAACCACTAAGCGGGGGAAATTCGCCCTGACATGACTGATGGCAACGATGGCAACGATGGCACAACTCTACCTCCAATGTCATTCTCGGCGGAGGTGACCCTTCCATCCGCACCTGTCGCACTTAGATCTGCTACGAACATCCTTACGTGCCCCTTCATCATTCGTGCAACCCCCACGACCCCTCGGGTCTCTGAAATTAGTTGCAGTCGTATCCAACTGCTCAGGTCGCCGACACAGACCATGATCCCGAGTTACCCCGACTACCCCATCAACCGCCTGAACAGTTGCGGTCCGACCCTGGAACTTAGCGATCAACCTATCAGTGACACGCCCGATGATGTCGGATAACTGCTCGCGTAGGGCTCGCGAAACCTCCACAGTGATCCAATCATGTGGTAGACTCTCCTGAAGGCAAGGTTCATAACCCACCTCCAATCCCGAATGAAAAGAGCTAACAATAGGATCCTCCTTCCCGAATGATCCCAGGGATCCATAGGCATTAGGCTCCGGATGAGCCCCTAATTGCCCAGTAACGATCTTGGCCCAAAAGGCCCCGAGGCGACTATCCAATAGCTCCAAAATCCCCTCCTTGACCGAACCAAAGATCACAGGGGTCTGCTCCAAAATACCGCGGGTAACTTCCGATGAGATGAACTCCCGCATCTGCTCGCTAATCGCCTCGGCATCTGCTCCTGAGTCGGGACTCGAACCAGAACCAGATCCAAAACCTGAACCACCTCCCTAAGATCTCATCTCCCAACTGAAAATCGACAAGCCAACAATTAGAACATACCCAAGACTCATTTAGTGGCAAAAGGTCTCAAACAACAACCGAGAATTAATTATCATGAGAAGTTAGTCCGGTGGTAAAATCCACAACTATTGATGTGGTTTTATCGGTTGTTGTTACAAGGCATTGGCCTCTTCGTCAACTGGATGTACAAAACCTATTTTTGCATGGTGGTCTCCAGGAAACCGTTTATCTGCGACAACCACGAGGTTTTATTGATCCACATAAGACAAATCATTTGTGTCTGCTTCACAAGTCGTTATAAGAACTCAAACAAACTCCAAGGGCCTGGTTTAATCACCTTTCGGGAGTCGTGTTACAGCTTGGATTTCAAGGGTCTAAAACAGATCCCTCATTGTTTATTTACTCCCATAATGGTAATCTTTTACATATGCTCGTTTATATGGATGACATCACTTAACCGACAACAATCCCCGACTCATTGACCACATTATTCAGCGGCTAAGCACTTCATTTGCGATACAAGGCATGGGTCAACTTTCATATTTTTTGGGCACCGAGGTAATTCCCAAAGGTACTGATTTTCTTATCTCCCAGAATAAATACATTTCTAAAATTATTCATAAAGCAGCCTCTCTCATTCCAAATTGATCGACTCTCTAATGGCCACTAACTCAAACTTGGCACTTGGTGATAGTCCTCACCTTGAGAATCCGTTTCAATTTAGTACTAAATAGTCATTTGTAAGGAGTGACTCTCTCAAATGAGAGGTCATGGGTTCAAGTCTCACTAGGAGACATAGGTGGTATTTAGGATTAGATTAGGAGTATGATAGTTTCCGTTTCAAAAAAAAAAGTTAAACAAGCAAAGCCCAAGCTTGAACACAATTATAAGAAGTTAACACTAGACAACACATAAAATATGCACATCCATTTTGTTAATTGGGGAACAAAATTCGTTCATAACTAGCACTTTAACTGTTCATTAAGAAAATAAAACATAGTAACATTAGAACGATGCATAGAAATGATCCATATGAACCTGATTGCACCTCACCTTGGCCAGGATAAAATGGAAAGCAACATGGGTTTTGAGCTTTTCTGCTATTCAATTGTGGTTTTCTGTACTCTTGGATCTAAGAAGTTGTAATCCAAGTTCGATTCAACATTCATTACTCCCTCTAACACCTTAACCACGAATGAAATTGAAGGCCTTTTAGTAAAATCTGTCTGTAGACACCATGAAGCCAATTTCATCATCTCCGCAACTTCTGTATCATGTACCTGCATATCTTCACTATGCCTGTCAACTATACTTAACAAAGTCCCTTGTTCCCAACAGCTTTGAAAGACACGCTATAAGTGCCAACTTTCTTTCGTCTGAGTTCTATCAAAATTTCTTCCTTCCACATAAGATCTCCAAAAGAACAGTCCCAAAGCTATATACATCCACCTTTTCAGTGATAATGGAGCTCAACCATTCTGGAGCCATATAACCGAAGGTTCCTCTCATTGTAGTTATCACTTGGCTTTGATTTCTATCAATGAGCTTTGATAACCTAAAATCAGATACTTTCGCATTGAAATCTTCGTCTAGGAGTATGTTTTGAGGTTTAATATCAAGGTGAACGATTTTTTTCCTACAATCTTCATGGACATACGCTAAACCTTTAGCAATGTGAAGAACAATCTTCTTTCTGCATTCCCATTTGAGTACATGCTTTCGGCCTCCATGGTAGATCCACTGGTCTAATGATCCGTTACTCATGAATTCATAACAGAAAGTCCATGAAAAAACCAAGTCTTATGCAAAGACAACGGTTGTTCCGATTGTGGTTGCCATTACTATCTATGATAAACCCATATCGGACCATGAGGTGTTGGTTCACAAAATATTTATAAATGAATTGAAATTTTTCAAGGAATTGAAATTTGTTATGAATTGAAGTCCAATGTTTGGTTGGCAAGAAATGAAATTGGAATCCAATTCCATATTTACGGACATGTCAAATGAATTTGAATTTAATAATGTAAATTGACATAATTGTCATTACTTAATTTTACTTTGTTTTATAAAATTACTGGAAAGATAGATTATATAAATTATAAAAATAATATATGGTGGGTGGTGGTGGGTGGTGGCGGTGGTTAATGGTGGTGATGGTGGCCTCAAACGATTTTTAAAACCATGATTGTACATAATATGTTTAATTATGTGCATTTTCATGTTGGGTCATCGACTGTTTATACCCAAAGGTTTGAAGTCTCCATTAAACTCTAATGATGATATTATTTCAATCCCATTAAATAGTCATTTGTAAGTTATCGTGTATACAATGCCCACTTAATTAGAATATTAAATACTAATATACCGTATCATAAATTAGAGATTACTACTAACAATCTCCTAACCGGTTATTATAAACGTGAAATTATATTTACATATTCTTTAGGAGTGGTGGTATTCATTTTCAGTTTAATTCTTTTAGAATAATCATATGGATAGATATCAAACCAACACGACCTTAATCATATATATAAAAGATGAATAAACCACGATAATCACCATATCTACACACTTAATGACACAGATTACAGTAGATGAACAAATGGCGTACAATGGAACCTTACACATGTCCATTTTAATTGGTTCAACCAATAGTCGTTAGTGAGTCGGTTTATGTAGATATACTACTACCAAATGGACCTAAATGTTAAATAAAGTACACACAGATGAGAAAACGTGAAAAGTGGCATAACATGAAATGTGATTAGAATTTCACAACTTGTCAAGGTTTCACATACAACAATCTTCCCTCAAAGGTTAGATAATGATCATCTCAAATGAGCTTCAAACCAATCAAAGATTTGCTCAGACTGCAAGCTAGTCATTTCATGATATGCAAATGCAAGATTCAATTCCTCCTGAATGTAATTCATCAAAAGCTCATTAGGCAAACGAATCTTCCTCTTACTCATGGCTTCTTTCCAAGGTATCACTCGCCCATCATTTATCAAGTAACCATCTTTATTAACAAATCCCTTCTCCTTAAACAGATCAAACAGCTCTACAGAAATCTTTAAGTCTAGCCCAGGGACTCTATCAGCAAGAAAAGATGACGTTAATGGCAACTCCATACACTCAATTTCAGCAACATCTACCCCTTCCCTCCTTAAAACTTCAAGATTTACATCAATCATCTTCTTCCTAGCATTATCTTTAGGCATGTGGACAAAAATGGTAGGTGGGTAGTGGTTTGTAATATCAATTCGATCATATACCCCTTCTGCAATCATAAGTGCAATACTACTAAACTTCATCTTGTTTGCTAGCATTGAAACAAAATAGCCACCTGATGATGCCCCTAAAGCTACAAGAGGCAAGTTTTCAAGATTTTGTTTTTCAACCCACCATTTGATGATTCTTATAACAACTAATGGTTCCTTCATTAATGACCAGCATTTGCCTTTACTTGAAACTGTAAGAACAGCAAACTTTCGAGCAAGAGCTTCAAGAACAATAAGCCTTTCCTCTGGCAAACCAACACAATGATTACAGTTTGGAGATTTATCCCAAAAATTAGAAGCCCTACCGTTACACCCATGAGCCAAAAACAGAACCGATTTTGGGGAATCGGGTATTTGCCAAATCACTTCGGTATTATTCAAGAATTCTACAGTTGGATCAAATTGAACCCTGGATCCATCTAAATTACTCATTTTTTGATTTGTTACCGTCGATTGAGAAGTGGGTTTCTTTTTATCGATTCCGAGAATAGCTATTACGAACATTAGAGCCATAACAGCAATCAATAAGGGCAACTGAATGCTCCGGAATTTAGTCAATCGCTTTTGCCATTTGTTTCCACCCTTATTATACATACCTGTACTTAAATGGTGATATCGGTTTAATACTGTTATATGTGTGTATATATATCGAAGCATATACGTACCTGTATGTATTCAAGAAATGTGATTTTCAGTGAAGCGATGGATGGAATGGATGGGAGTGTCGGAGGAACTGCCAAAGGCCGTGAATCAGCGTTGTTGGGCGTCAGTGCGACAGTGGTTTCAATTCCGCTCCGATTTGCGAAGCATGGAGGGACGTAAACTCCCCGAAAATGGCAAAACAAAACAAATCGAGGAGTTTCAAGTCGGGATTTAGAGTCGACGCCATCATCATTAGAAGGAAAAAAAAAAGTATAAATGGTACAACTGAAAATTCCTGTTTTTCAATCTATACTCGATCGAAAAGAAGAAACAGTAAATGACATATTTAGTCCCTGCTTTTTAATCAAAATCATATTTTTGTTCAAATTTGAAATTATCCAAATGTTGTATTTTACTCAGGAAGTTGAACTTACCGACTTAGGAGTCGTTTGATAGTTGCTGACTGAGAAAGTGCTGATTGAGAAAGGTCTGTCTGAGTAATAAATTCTGACTGACTAAGAAATCATGCTGTTTGATTATACATCTGACTGAATGTGCTGACTGATGCAAAATGACAATTTTACCCTGGTACTCTTTATAATAATAATAATAATAATAATAAAATTAATAACAATAATAATAATAATAATAATAATAATAAAATTAATAACAATAATAATAATAATAATAATAATAATGTATACAAACACATTTTGCTGACCGAGTCAGCCAAAAACGTCTGACTTGACTCGGTCAGACGCATATCAAACGGGGCCTTAGTGAAGATATCCACAGCGAAATGCATAGTTAAGAGACGATATTGGGATGATTTCAAATTTTGGATTGAACTTTTATTTTTTGGTAAGACACAATAACCAAATTTGAAATTAGTCGTAATAATAATAATAACAATAATAAGATTGCAGATTGGACCATGGAGAACATTATAGTTCCAATCTAGTCAAATTATTTGATCCGTTTCCGATTTAAAATAATCTAAAACAATGAACCGAATGGCACAATCGTGGTTCCAATCTAGTCAAATTATTTGTGGACTGTGGTTCCAATCTAGTCAAATTATTTGATACAGTTCCAATTCATGTCCAATTCAATTATTTGATTTTGTCGTTTCCAACTTTTGAGGTACCATAATCTTCAATGGGACAACCTATTTTCATTTATTTGTCTGTTTTAGTGTCTTTTTTTCAAATAAAGTATTGTTATAATTATTTCAGATTCAAACAGCGTACTTTGACAATTCTACCTATTATAACATTGTACTTTCATTTTTATTTCTATATTTATTATTTAATATTATTGTAAACAAATGTACTTGTGAAATTTTAGTTTCAAAAATTTGCCCAATTATAATTGAACAATTGTTTCACATTACTCGATTAAAACAAAATGATATATTAAACAAATAAATAAAAATACATTTTTATTGCTTTCATTTAACCATTTTGAAAAGAGAATAATTCAAGCATGATTCTTTTATATAACACAAACATTAGGAGCATACATCATATAAAAAGATACAACCATATAACATAAATCAAAACATTCATACAAAACCACCTAAAGTTTGTGCAAAATCAAATGAACACCAAATTGCGGTTGAAGCGTGCCCAAAAGATGTGGGGCATGCGAGTATGATGGAGAGATCTCAAAGCGAAAGTGTTGTAGAATCATAGCAAGTGCCATTTTTGCTTCCAAAATAGCAAAATTTTGTCCAATACATATACGTGGACCTCCTCCAAATGGGAGATAACATGTTTGTCCCTTTGTCACCTTTGACACCCCTTCAGAAAATCTCTCAGGATTGAATTCCTTCACATCATCACCCCATATTTCATGATCATAGTGTAAAAGCAATACATTTATTTGAAGAAGAGTTCCAGCTGGCAACATTAAGTCTCTTAATTTGGTTTCTTTATGTATTATGCGTCCTAAAAAGGCCACGGATGGATATAGCCTTAAAACTTCATTGAAAATCATGTTAACCTGTTGCACTCAACAATTAGTATATAAACTAACAATGTTAGATATAATTAAGAAAGGAAATAGTGAAATAGTGAAATGCATACCACTTTTAGATGACTTAACCGCTCAAAATCCGGTTTTTTGTCCCTAAAAAGATGTAAAACTTCATCTCTAGCACGAGTTTGCCAATTCATGTGTTGACCCAATAAAACCATAGTCCAAATCAGCAAATTTCTTGTGGTTTCTTGTCCAGCAACATAAAAGAGCTTGCATTCCTCGATAATTTCTTCGATACTTAGCCCGGAGTTTTTATTTCCATCTTGTTTAATTTCTTCATAATTGGATCTCAAAAGAATTCCCAAAAGGTCATCGTTACTATTTTCTCCTGCTTTCATTGCAACAAGTCGTTTATTAACAATACCCTTTATCGAATCTTTGACTTTTTGGTCAATCTCTTTTATCCTTTTGTTGCGTTTTGTTGGCAAAAACCTATAAGATGGTATCCAATAATAGAAAAAAATAATAAATTTATTTCTAGAACATGATTAGACTCATTGTTTGAGAACATTCAAGCTCACCTTGATCCTGGAAAGATATCAGACTGTATAGACTTTACAATCAACACTAGCATTTCGTGTAGAAGTTCAAATATTTTTCTTCCTTCTTCAAAACTACTACCAAAAGCTGTACGTGAAATTACATCATTGGACATTGTTTCGATATAAGGGCAGACATCAACTTCGCATGAGCTTTCTTTTATAAGCAAGTTTTTCCATTTGTTTATCATTTCATCGCAACTCGTATAGAAGGCAGGTATCATTTGCTACAAAAGAAAAGAGATAATTTTTTTTAAAGTGTAAGATAGTTTTAGTATGGTAATTAGAGGAGACAAGACAAAAGGCATGAACCTTGAGCTTCTCCATGTTGAATGCAGGATTGATAATTTTTCTGTGTTTGACCCATTGATCACCTTCAACATCTACTAGCCCTTTCATTAGCTTCCTAAATAATGGATTTCCTCTCGACTTCTGAAATTTATAATAATCAGCTAATATCTCTTTTATCATGGCGGGTTCGGTCACTTGCACCATAGGTCTGGGTCCCATCCATGTAAAACAAATCTTACCTACAAAAAATGCAAATAATAATGTACTTCGCTAATTGTTTATTGTATATCTACTTATATTTCTATTCTATGTTGACCAATTTGACCTACTATAGCATGTTATAATAGTCACAATAGAATAAAAATGTCAAAATTGATCGAGTTGTTTTAATGAAATTATTTGGACTAAAATTTGACATTTAATATTCCACTAAATCCAGTAAACTTTAAAAATCTTTTTAATTGTGACCACTTTAACTTGTTCAAAGGGTTAGATATAGAAACATTTGTGGTGGCTTTCATTTATAGCGTAAACAGCACAACGTTTCGATGCTTTGGGTGGTTTTCATTTATTATTTTGATTCCTAATGGTTAGACGGAAAAAATGATACACTATTTTAATATCATAGATTTAATAAGAAAAATAAAAAATAGAATATTCTTACATAACAATAATAAAAGGGTCCTGCTATATAGACACCTTTGGACACCCAAATTCAAAAGTCAAACATTTTCCAACATTAAAATTTGTACACTACATAGTTTTTGTAGCTTTTAGCATAAGGAACTGTGCTTCATAAAACATATTTATTGGGAACTATTTCAAAACACTCCTCTTGTATTAATACAATTTTTAGTAGCTTTTAACATCAATAACATTGAAAACATTCTTTTATAGAATCTAAAAATAATTTAATTATATTGAAACTTGATCTTCTTAATCCACATATTAATACAATCACTAACCATCTAAATTAAATACTGCTATTCTTTTATATAAAACTAGTTAATAACCCGTGGGAACCATGGTTTTAAAACTAATTAAAATTTCATAGTAAAAAATCAAAATTATTAATCAATTAATTAAATTGTTAATTAAGAGATATTTTTTAGTTATATAAAATTATAATCGTTGATTTAAATAAATACGTGACCTTATAATTTGTATTAATGTTATTTTAATGTTTATTTTAATGTAATTAGAATGAAATTTTTGAAATTTGAAATTTGAAATGGAGAATCAATAGGTTGACAAGTGGCATGACATTAATTAGGAGACCTAATTGAATGACACATGGCAAAAGGAGAATAAACCTATTCTTTTATTAGAATAGGGAGATCCTAATAAAGACTAATAGTTATCAAACCATACATTCAGGTAAAATATTAATCTAAGTCTTATATCAACATTTTACAGCAAACATCGTAACACTCCTGCCATCATCGCCGCCAGCGACCAACGCCGGCAAGTAACTGCCACCACCACTCCACCATCTGTACGTCCTTTGGAAACCACCTCCGCATGCACGGTGTCTCCAATGACGATGACAGATCAAGAGAGAAAAACCTACTACCGCCCATTAAAAATCGCTACGAGAGAGAGAGAGAGAGAGAGAGAGAGAGAGAGAGAGAGAGAGAGAGAGAGAGAGAGAGAGAGAGAGAGAGAGAGAGAGAGAGAGAGAGATGCCTCAAGTATGTCTTTTAAATGGTCCGACAACAGTGGTTCAACGACGGTATTCCGACGGCGGTGGTCTGGTGAGGCCACTCCTATGAACAGATGACGATGACAGATCGAGAGTGATAGGCTCTAAAAGAATAGTTTTTGTCATATGAGCGACATTTCGATGAGTGGTCCAACGACGGTGATCGGACCTGTGACATTTCGATCAGTACGGCCGGTGAAGATTGAGTGCTGGAAAGAGTTTTGTTGTGTGTTCTGGGGAGGCTAACATCTTGTTCTCGAGTTTTGTAATTAAAGGAAGGAAATGGAAGGAGAGGGAAGAGATGGTAGGAGAGAAAATGGAAGAGCAATATAAATAATCAAGTATATTCTTGAGTTAGAGGAAAATGGAATGGAGGGATTTGAACCTTTATTTTTTGCCTCCCCTCCGAACCCTCCCAAAATTGGGTCTGTCAAAAAATGACTATTTTGCTTCCTCTTTCTTTCCATCTCTTAAAAAAAAGCTCAAAAACACATTTTCCTTGTGTGATTTACTCCCATTTCCTTCCATTCCACTTCCTAAATTAACTCCAGAAGAGGGTTTAATTGAGGATTAGGGTTTTAAAGTATTTAATAGAAGGGTGGGTTGGGCTTAAAAATGGTCTAACATATTTGTTTTTTAAAATGGGCTAACATATTTATTTTTTAAAAGAGAAAAGGGAATATGTGGCTGTCATGCATGTAATATTATGTATAAAACTAACAAAACTATGTCATTTCGATTCAAAACTACGTAGTTTTGATACCTATCCTAAAATTTAATATATTTTCTTTCCTATTTTAACCGTTTTCCCTCGATCTCAGTTCTAAAAAAAACTAATTTCCTCCATTTTGACTTTAGTTTTATCACCTAAACGTTTTTTTGAATTCAGTCGTAATGTTCATCATGTTCAAAATGAGCACTTTTTTTTATTTTAAATAATTATGTTCATTATGAGAATTTTTAAATATCCTACACCTAATACATGTAATATTTGAAAATAAAACTATAAGAAACACGTCTGCAAATTCTTCATACATTTATTTCCATTTTGTTATATTATATCGGTATATTTTGCAATGAATTGTCTTTGATTATTTTTATTCGAGAGTGTGTATTCAGGAAATAATATAGGAATGGTAAGATAAAATGGTAAAAAAATCATTTGAATGATATTTTTAATCAAAACTACCTAGTTTTAATATGTTCTATATGTAATATTACGTACATGACAGCCACATATTCATTAACCCCTTTTTAAAATGGCTAACATATTTGTTTTATAAAAATTGGTTAACTATATACAAATATATTTGTTTAAGTTAATTTTTTTTATAAAATATATCTATTTTTATATGTTTTTTATATATAATTTTAGTTTTTATAACCATTTATAGACAACTGAAGCCTTGTAATCGTGAAACACCTTTTACAACTATAGAAGATTAATGAAGAATATTATTTTTGTCTCATATTTTTGCGTTTATGTATTTATTTATATTTAATTATTAGACAATATAAAAATATGTGTTACTTAATATTTATAAATTAAAAGTAATTATTTATAGAAAAATATATGTATTACTTTTAGTTTTTTTATAAAATATATCTATTTTTACAACTATAGAAGATTATTGAAGTAATTATAAAAATTTATAATTATTTATAGTAATTATAAATTTACATTAATTTTTTTTATAAAATATATCTATTTTTATGTGTTTTTTATATATATAATTTTAGTTTTTATAACCATTTACAAACAAATGAAGCCATGTATTGTGAAACACCTTTTACAACTATAGAAGATTATTGAAGAACATTATTTTTGTCTCATATGTTTGCATTTATGTATTTATTTATATTTAATTATTAGACAATATAAAAAATATAAGTAGTACTTAATATTTATAAATTAAAAGTAATTATTTATAGAAAAATATATGTATTAGTTAACATTTATAAATTAAACAAAAATAAATAATCATTTAAAAAAACCAAAAATAATAAATAATTATTATATAATCATTATTTAAAAATAACTAGTAATTATTATTGCTATGTTTTTCAAATAAGAAGTAATGATTGTGTTGTCTAATTAGCAAAATAAGGTGTCTTTTTAGCCAATCTTATGGCCAAGTGGCCTCAAATCTCACACTACGGTGGGTGACATGTCATTTGCAGTGGTGCGGTGAACACGACACCGCCCAATTGTGTGGTAAGTAGACCTGACAATGGAGCGGGTTTGGAGCGAATCGACCTTAATCCAAACCCTTTTAACAAATTTCAAAATCCGATCCAAACCCGCTCCGTAATCTATAGGGTTTTGAATAATCAAACGCATACCTTATATTCATTGAATCAACGGATATCCAAACCCGACCCATAACTCATCTGCTTTAATCAAACACGTTTTCCTTAATTCTTAAAGTGACATTTCTTAAATAAAAATATATATTATGGCTTAATACTTAAAATAACATTTTTTTAAATAAAACAAAAGTTGATTTAGAAAAAGACATTACATACTCGAGGAATTTCGATTGGAATTAAAAATCACTATTGCAACAACTTTCGATTGTTTTATGACTGTCGATTGTAGTGATATCGAATAGTAATTGCAAACTTTCTTCTTGTTAATAAATGTTTTACTGATTTATATATGAAATTGGCGATTTCTTGATGAATATAAATTGAATGACATCATGATTCTTGGTATCTAGAAGTCTAGAAATTTATACGAGGCGGGTTATAAATGGAGCGAATCGGTGATGATCCATACCCGATCCTTTTAATAAAAGGGTTAGTGGGTATGGATCGTTCATGGGTAAACGAATAAAAAACTACGCTCCAAACCAATATTATTCTTACAGGGATCATGGTTAAAACCTGTTCTTGCTAGGTCTAGCGGTAAGGCCACCGCATGGTATGTTTCCACCAAGCTTCTTCTCTTTCCTCTTTCCTTTTATATGCTTCATGATCTTATATAGTACAACATCCGGTGTGTGGTAAGCAGGAGCGGCTTAACCAATTTGGAGGCTCTAAGCAAACAAAAAAATTAGGGCCCTTCAAGTAAGCAAATAGTTTCGAACTTGAGACCTTAAGTTTTATACACCAATGCTTTTACCATCAGGCCAAGCTTCAACTTGTCTTTGTAACTCAATAAATACGTATATACACATATATAATAGAATAAGCTTTAAAATTGGGGGCCCTAAGCCCTTGCTTAGTTTTTCAAAAGGTAGAGCCGGCCCTGGTGGTAAGTTATGATAAGTCTATTTTCTATCAGTTTTGTGAGATGAAGGGAAAATGATATGATACTGACATGGCAGGCCAAAAATATATATCACACCCATTGATCTAATAAAAACACAAAATTAAATATCATCTTATATATATTCTTTCTACCTATCTTCCTGTCCGTATTACTAACCGATGACAATTAAACTAAAATATTATTAATTGTGACACATTTTTTATTTCTCATAAAAATTAGAAACAAGATAAAATATATGTTTTCTTAATCCTCGATAGATCATGGGTTTTAATAGGCTCCACCATTTATTAATTTCCCTTTAAACTACCTACCCACCCATAAATAATCAAATCAATGTCCCATTCTTCGATACGTAATAATAACGTAAAATAACTAAAAATAATATAGGATCGGTGATTTTGATAAAATAAACCACCGTTTGCCAAAAAGTAGTCTAATATGACTGCTAGATTGTCTTTCCCACTAACAATGACTACAACTGATATCTTCGAAAATGGATCGACAATCCCACTAACAGTATAACACTACTTGAAAACATGATCCAGTAGAATCAGAAATCAAAATCGAAAGATTTAATAATATGTATGTCTCTGTGTGTGTATGAGAGAGAGAGAGAGGCATGGGTGCTTACCATAATCAGCAACTGATTTATGAACAAAGGGCAAAACCCGAGGCGCGATATCATCTTTGAGATGGATGGGTTTAGATTTGGCTTCGCGTGTCATTTGTGCTATCTCTTTCGAGTCTCCGAACATAAATCTGTAGGAGTTGCCTTTCAGGCCTTGGGCTCTTAGAAATTTCTCGATCTTCTTTGGTTTGAACCACAACGAATCCAAAATTCTCCATGTGAGTAAGATCACTATCACTGTCATTAGCACGCTGACAATATAAGTATAAGACGCTGCACTTAACTCCATCTTTTGGGTTGGGAGTTGCTCCGAGAATCTTGTGGCGATTGTGATGAGAAAGGGAACGTTTATTGATGAGAAAATTTTCAATTTACCCCCTTCTTGTTAGAGTAATCACAATAATGGTTCTTAGACTTTTTATTGTAGTATCAAATTGTTATTTAATGACAAATTTTCATAATTTTCCATATGGTTTTCGAAAAGAGGAAAATGACGATAATATAATAGCAATAGAAGGTCTTAACATTGCTATGAAGGCGGCTTGTCAGAAGGAGATTTTTCAAGGAATCAAAGTACCACACTCGGAAACAACCATCTCACATTTGTTCTATGTCGATGACGCCCTATTTGTGGGTGAGTGGATTCAAGACAATATAAAGAACCTTGCAAGAGTGTTGAGATGTTTTCAAGTGGCATCGGGATTGAAAGTCAACTTTAACAAGTCAAGGGTGTTTGGTATTGGAGTTGATATGCAAGAAGTCACTCGATGGGTTGTTTCATTAGGATGTGAACCAGCTTCATTACCCTTCACATATCTTGGGGTACCTGTAGGTGCAAACATTAAGTTAAAGAAGCATTGGAAACCCATAATTGACCGATTTTATGCCAAACTTTCTCCATGGAAAGATTAAACACTTTCATTTGGGGGCAGATTAACCCTTGCTAAGGCTACTCTCGGTAGCCTTCCATCATATTTCATGTCAATCTTTGTGGCTCCAGTGGGAGTCATAGAAATTCTCGAAAAAATTCGAAGACAATTTCTTTGGGTGGAGATGATAACAAGCATAAAATATCATGGGTATCATGGGAGAAAGTCGTTGCACCAAAGAAGAAAGGGGGCTTGGGATTAGGTTCTCTTCGTGCCTTTAACCTTGCGTTGATAGTTAAATGGTGGTGGGGCTTGAAGACTAACAAATCAACATGGAGAAGAGTAATTGTGGGTATTCACAATCTAAATACTAAACCTACTGAGAGACTATCAAAGAAAACTATCCCAGGCGTATGGAATAATATAGCAGGGGTAATGTAGGAATTACAAAAGGCGGGAATCAACTTTCAGGATATTTTAAAGAAACGGGTTAAAGAAGGTGATGACACTCTCTTTTGGATAGATGCATGGTGTGATAAGGAACCCCTAAAAAATAGATTCCCATAACTGTTTCAATTGGAGAGACGAAAGTCATGTTCAATAGGAGAGGATACAGGTGGCAGGCCAAACGTGGGATTGGAGATCGTCCCCTACAACCGATGAACTGATACACAGTTTTCATCTGTTCTTAACTGTCATAGGTGATTTCCGCCCGACAACAGGGATGGATAATTGGAAGTGTGCCATAACAAAGGATAAGATGTATATTTGGAAGTGTGCCATAACAAGGATGGGGATTATCACGTAGACGTTCTTAGATCAAAAGTTGGATAATATGGAATCGGCGATTAACGAAGTGATTATTCCGTGGATACATGATGTTCCAATGAAGGTCTCAACTTTCGTTTGGAGAGCTAATCTCGGTCGAATTCCGTCCAACAGTGCGCTAATAAGAAGAGGAGTGCCACGGGTAGAAGCTAGAAGTTCTCAATGCTTACAGGAGGATGAAGACATTGCACATATTCTGATTCGCTGCCCTGTGGCGGGCTATATGGTAGTGGGTGTTCAAATGGTGTGTGATTCCTCAACCGCAGTTTCACGTTATTGGAGACCTCATCATTTTCATAAAAGGTTGGGGTAGATGTGTGAAGAGAAGAAACAATCTCATCAATGTATGTTATGGCGTGATATGGCTGCTATGGAAATCGAGATGCGACTGGATGTTTAAGAACATGCGCACCTCCCCCTTCAAGATTATTGACGACGTTAAATCATTGGTGTATGCTTGGCTAAAGCATAGGAGAACAAATTGTAATTACAAGTGGGTTGAATGGTGTATATGTCCACTAAGTTGTTTGTGAGATCATAGATCTTGATGTAATGCCCTTTCTATCTTTGTTGTTCTCCTGGCCCCGTCTAGTAACTTGCTAGGCGGTGGTCCTTTTAATAATATTTGTCTATTAAAAAAAAAACTATTTTTAAAACTTTTACTAGGGATGAGCGGAAGTATCGAGATAACCAGAACGGAACCAGATTTACTCTATCGGTTCGGTTTGCGATTCCTCACAAAACCCGATTAAAATACCAGAACCATACCGGAATTGGAAATTTCCTAATCTATAAAATATTTGTGCAAATCTTTCAAATATTTTGAAAAGATTATTCTTGAGAGGAAGAGTCCTTCCACTCAAAGTAGTCACATTTCTTGTACTTTGTTTGATAACCAAGTAGACATCAAGAAATTTGGGTTTTAACAAGCAAAAATTACCAAAATTTCTTGCATAATCTATACAATCACAACAAATGGAAGAGGGATCAGACGCTCACCAATGAGTTTCGACAGTTCCAAAATCGACAACCGAGGTTATCCTAACTCCATGACGTTCTTTCCATGGCTAGATTCTCACAGTAGCACCTCTTAGTGTTTGGGGAGGTCGTTGCAACTCTTCGACCAGAGTAACAAGATGAGGAAGATGAAGAGTAAAAAGATGAGGGATATGGAAATTGGTAAGCAGCTTCAACCTTATAACCCGTATAATATTGGGTCGATCCCCTGTATAATAGGTAAAAGGTGACTTTTAAGGATCTATTGGACCAAAATCAAAAGTTGAATCTGGTGTAGTTATATTTTCCCTTTAATTTAAGAATATCCGGTTAATTTTCCACAACCATAAAGAGATTTATACAATATTTTAAAAATCGGTTTTTTAGTTGCCGATCAGTTTCCAGTTTAACCGTTTCGACTAGTGAGTCAACCCGGTTTCTAGAATTTTTATATGTTTTTTTATTTTCATGTACACAAACAAGTACAAACATTAAAAAAAAAACATATAAAAACAAGTTGTAGATCACTCAAAATACATTAAAAAATAAATAACCATACGTTTTACATCAATGGTATATATATATATATATATATATATATATATATATATATATATATATATATATAATATTGAAAAAAAATATAATTTTAGATGAATAAACACACATTAAAAAATTTCATAAAATTTACCATGTCTGTTCATTCAATTTAAGATAAAGTTAAATAGACGTGAAATCATCACCAAAGTTTGTTATACAAAATGTTTTATTTCTATGTGTTTTTATTCAATTTAACTAGTTCGACCGGTCCAATTTAGTCGGTTCAACCAATTTAGTCGGTTCAACCGGTGTTTACAAAAAACCTACCGTTTTGTTCCGGTCTATAAACAGGCATAAAACCAATGTTAGTTAAACCGTTGACTTTTTCGATTCCTGGTCCAACTGTTTCAACCGACCCGTTCAAACCGGTTTTTTAAACACTGAATTTATTAAACATTGGATTTAGAGCAACATACTTTTAAACAAACCAAAACATGCGAGCCTAAAGTTTACGTAGAATCAAATGTGCACCAAATTGAGGTTGTAACGTTATGACAGAATGTGGAGCATGTGAGTACAATGGAGACAACTCAAAAGAGAAGCGTTGTAGAATCATAACCAGTGCAGTTTTTGCTTCCATCAAAGCAAAATTTTGTGCAATACATATACGTGGCCCCCCTCCAAACGGAATATATGAGGTTTGTCCCTTGGTTGCCTTTGACACGCCTTCAGAAAACCTCTCGGGCTTAAACTCTTTTGCATCCTCACCCCATATATCATGGTCAGTATGTAAAAGCAATGTGTTCACTTGAATGTAGGTTCCTGCAGGTAAGGTCATATTCCCTAATTTCATTTCTTCATGTATCATCCGTCCTAATACCATTGCTGGTGGGTATAGTCTAAGGACCTCATTGAATATCATGCTGATCTGCAAACGCATAACATAACACTTAATAAATATATTATATGGAAAGCTATGACTAGTCGTTCTTTTGTGCAAACAAAAAGAATTCGTTAAACACCAACATTGAGAAATATGCTTCAAGCGAATATGGTTTAGTAAAACTTACAGTTTTTAAGTGACTAAATCCATCAATATGTGGTTTCTTCTCCCCAAAAACGCCTAAAACTTCATTTCTCGCAAGTTCCTGCCATTTTGTGTGCTGACTCAGGAGAATCATAGTCCACACTAGCAGATCTGCCGTGGTCTCTTGTCCTGCAAAGTAAAAAAGTTTGCACTCTTCGATGATATCTGGTATGCTTATTCCAAAGTTGTGGTTACCATGTCTTTTAATTTCTTCGTGATTGGAATCCAGAAGAATTCCTAACAGGTCATTATTTCCAAATTTCCGGGATTCCATGGTGGCTACTCTCTTGTCAATAATACTTCTTATTAAGGCCTCCACTTCTTGACAAGTCTCCTTTATCCTCTTGTTCGATTTTGTTGGCAAAAATCTACAGAATTAATAATGTTTTTTCAATAAGTATAGTGAATTTATGCATGCATGACAAAACCAATGATGGTACTATGACTGCCATGACATGATCATATAAACTTTTGATATAATTACTTATTAATTTACAAAATTTCACTTAGTGGCAATTATATATACATACATGTAGTTCCTCAATATATATGGAAATATCATCACCTTGATCCTGGAATATAAATCGACTGAATAGCCTTTAAAACCAACTCAATCTGTTCTCGTTGAAGTTCAAATATCTTTCTTCCTTCCTCAAAGCTACTACCAAATGCTGTACGTGAAATTACATCACTAGCAAATGTTTTAAGATGAGGCCACACATCCACTTCACATGAGCTTTCCTTGATCAGCATTTCTTCCCATTTGTTGATCATCTCACTACAGCTAATATAAAATGCTGGCACCATTTGCTACAAATTAAGAAATATATAAATCTATATAACGTATGTCTTAAAATCATGAGTTGACTTTTATATATGGAGAAAGAAAAGGGAAGAACAGAAACCTTGAGCTTCTCAACATGGAATGCAGGATTGATGATTTTTCTATGTTTAACCCATTGATGGGTCTCAGTGCTGAATAATCCTTTCCCTAGCAACCTTATTAGCGGATGTCCTCCCTTTTGCTTTTGAAATTTATTATAATTAGCTAATATCTCAGGTATCATAGAAGGTTCACTTACATGAACCAAAGGTTTGTTTCCCATCCATGTAAAACAAATTTTACCTATACAAGTAACACCAAAATTGTTTTTTAAATATATGAATAATAGTACATGTGAACAAGGAAAATCAAATAATTTTAGTTAATACAAAATCTGTTAGCCTTCTAAGTCTGTTGGTTGATTGTTAGCGGTTAGTTAGCATCAAGGGCATTTTAGTCATTTTCTTTGTACAGGTAGTTATGGTAGTTATAGATTAGCTGGATGATTTGTTCGTGTATATATTCTTACAGTGTTTCTATTGGAACTTAATTAATGGAGAATATTTGAAATTCATTCTTTGATTCTCTCTATTACAAGATTGTATCAGAGCAGGTCATCGATCTTCATCCTCTGTTCTCCATTTCTTCAATTCTTTTCTTGTTGTTTAGATTTTCTTCAATCTATTCATTCTTTTCTATTTCAATTCATCTCGATCGTGTCTCAATCCGAATCAGGTTCATCTTTCCCCAATTCTTCCAGTCCTTATTTCGATAGCCGCAATTCTATTATCGTTTCTACACTGTTCACCGGTGTTGGCTATAAATTCATGGAAACGATCCATGATTATCTTGTTAGAAGCGAGAATAATATTGACTTTGTTGATGGATCAATATTATTCTTGAATCTGATCCTAACTATTCCAACTGGTTTCGTGCAAATTCAATGGTTATAAGATGGATTTAAAACTCAGTTGACAACACAATTTACCAACTTATCTACATGATTATGTATGTAACCAGTTAGATTCCATTAGTTCCCATCATATGTTTCATCATACAATCACTAATTTTTATATTAGTGATTCTTACTCTGTCACTGATATTTCAAACGCCATGCATTATGTGTTCAGTATTATTACTCAAGTCATAGAACCTGCTTTCTACAATCAAGCCAAAGGTCAACCAGAATAGGAAACAAATATGACTAATGAAATCAATGCTTCACAAGAAAATCACACTTAGGACATAGTAAAACTACTAAAAGGCAAGAAACCAATTTCTTGTAGATGGGTCTATAAGGTCAAATACAAAGCAGATGGAAGTATTGAAAGATACAAAGCACGTTTAGCTGTTAAAGGATTCATACAGAAAGAAGGTGTAGATTTTCATGAAACCTTCTCACCAGTTGTAAAATTCAACAACATCAGATGTCTTGTTGCTTTAGCTCTTAAAAGAGGATGGGATGTACATCAATTTGTATGTGAACAATGCATTTATACATGGAGACTTACATAAAGATGTGTACATGAAACTCCTACCAGGATTTCCTATCACCTCTTCTTGTATGGTATGCAAGCTTAAAGCAGGCTTCTAAACAGTGGTATACAAAGTTTTCTACTGATTTACAATCAAAAGGCTTTACTCATTCACATAATGATCATTTTTTATTTTTAAAGAAAGCTACAAATTCATTTGTCATTGTACCTGTGTATGTAGATGACATATTGGTTACATGCAACAATCTTAAAAAAATTACATCTCTCAAAACATATCTTGATGCAGAATTCAAGATTAAAGATCTAGGCTTCCTCAATTATCTTTTGGGATTGGGGTTTCACAAAACAGAAAATAGTATGGCCATACATCAACATAAGTTCATTAAGAAATTGCTTAAACTATATTCTATGTCTGATTGCAAACCAGTCTATATGTCATTACCAATCAAGCCTCAATTGCTTCCTAAAATTACTGATCTTTTACCAGATCCAACACCTTATAGATAATTGATTGGAAAGCTAAATTTTTTACTTCACACAAGGCGAGATCTATCCTTTTCAGTTCAACATCTAAGTCAATTCAATCAAAGTCCTTGTCAAGCTCATTATGATGTTGCACTTCATGTTCTACAATACCTAAAGGGTACATCCACAAAAGGTTTGTTTTTTTTTTTTTATCAAAAATAACTCATTTAAAGTTGTGGCTTATTGTGATTCAGATTGGGCTGCATGCCCAATCACAAGATGATCCATGAGTGGTTTCTTTGTTATGTTTGGTGACAATCCCATTTCTTGGAAAGTCCAAGAAACAAACCACAATTTCTTTATCCTCAGGAGAAGCTAAGTACAAATCTATGAGAAGAGTATGTGTCGAGCTTTCATGGTTAAGTTGACTCTTAACAGAACTAGAAGTTCCTGATGTAACTCCAATTCCACTCAAAAGTGATAATATGGAGCCATTTATATTGCAAAGAATCTAGTGTTTCACAAACGCACTAAGCATATTGAATTAGATTGTCATTTTTTTCGGGAAAATCTTCAAAGTGGCTTGATTACTTTAACTCATGTTTAATCTAAAAGACAACTTGCATATGTGTTTATCAAATCATTACAAGGCATTCATCCTCAACAAGCAGTTAGCAATCTAGGGTTATTTCCATACCCTCCGGCTTAAGGGGGTGTTAGCCTTCTAAGTTTGTTAGTTGCGGGCGGTGGTGTTTGCCCTCAAAATTTGGCAGTACTATTTATATGGGGTCCAATATACAATTTACACGGATCAAAAGAGTTTGAGATATCTCATGGATCAGTCGAATTTAAATATGAGACAACATAGATGGCTTGACGTGGTCAAGGATTATGACTACGAGATTCTTTATCACCTGGGGAAAGTGAATGTGGCCGCTAATGCTTTGAGCCGCAAGTTGGCTAGCACTTCTGTTAGGGGCGTATGTATGAGGATTTCTATCGTTTCCCCATTTCTGGATTTTATCAGGGAGGCTTGGACCGAGGGAGTCAAGAAGTAAAATTGGAAGCAGGAGAGAATCAGGGGTGAGATTAACATGTTTTCTACCGATAGTCGCGGACTATTGACTTGGTGCAGTCGGGTTTGGGTTCCAAATTTGGGTGGGGTCAGGCGGACCGTGATGAAAGAGGCACATAAGTCTAGATTTTCGATACACCCTGGAGCCACATAGATGTATAGGGATTTAAGACTTAGTTACTGGTGGTCGTGCATGAAGACGAAGATAACATGGTATGTTGAGTAGTGCTTCACATGTCGGATTGTCAAGGCCGAGCACTAGAGACCGCATGAAAATCTTCAGCCTTTGGAGGTTCCCATGTGGAAATGGGAACATATCACCATGGATTTTATCACCAAATTAACCAGGACGGCTAAGGGATTTGATGTGATATGGATTATTGTGGATGGTCAGACCAAGAGTGCCCACTTCTTGGCTATTCGGGAGAGTTCCTTGGCCGAGAAATTAGCCGATGTGTATGTGCGCGAGATCGTCGCTCAACATGGTGTTCTAGTCTCTATTGTATCGGATCGGGATGTTCGATTCATTTCGTGTTTTTAGCAGAGGTTCCACGAGGAACTAGGTAGGATATTACACTTTAGCACCGGTTATCATCCACATACTGATGGTCAGAGAGAGTGGGTCATCCAGATGCTTGAGGATATGTTGAGAGCTTGTGTTATTTATTTCAGTGGGATTTGGGACTCCTACCTTCCCATGGCTAAGTTTTCATACAATAACAGATCAGGCAGAGGTTACAGACAACTCAGAGTCGACAGAAGAGTTATGTTAACAGGCGTCGATCCGATTTGGAATTCCAGGTTGGCGATATGGTTTTACTGAAGTTATTACCCAGGAAGGGTTTAATATGCTTCAGGAAGATAGGCAAGTAGGGACCCCGATTCATTAGGTCGCTTCGAGTAGTTGCCATGGTAGGAAGGGTAGCCTATTGACTGGATCTTCCTGAGGAGCTTAGCCAGATTCATAACACCTTCCATGTTCTTAGCTTCGGAAGTGTATAACTGATGATTCACAAATGGTTCCTTTGGATGATTTACAGGTTGATGATTGTCTGAACTATGTTGAGAGGCCATTGGCGATTTTAGATAGGAAGACGAAGGCCTTGCGCAACAAGGTGGTACCATTGGTCAAGTGGTAGCATCGAAAGGGTTCCAAATGGACTTGGGAACCCGAGGCAGAAATACAGGAACATTACCCAAAGCTATTCGCAACTGAGGACTTCAAGGATGAAGTCTAATTCAAGTGGGGGAGAATTGTAACGCCAAGTTTCGAGTGTGTTCCTATTTAAGTAAATTTAATAAATTGAAGTTAGATTTCTCTGGTGGCCACGGTTTGGTGATGGAATCCCACAGCGTGGCCAAGGAAAGAGTTTTCGTGGTCCTTAAGTTGGCGCCACGACGTGGCCGAAATCTAATGACAAACCCTAATCCGGGGTTTGAGCCCCTATTTAAGGAATGTGATGGCTAGGGTTGCCCACCCTCAGCCTCATTCACTCTCCCTCAGCCTCCAGAAGGAAAAAAAATAGCCTCCATTGCTAATATTTGAGTTCTTATGTTATTTGGTGGTATTTTAAAGAAGAAGAAAGCATCTTTGAGCTTGGTTCCAGCAAGCAAATCTTCTCACCAACCTTAAGCACGTTTTTGGACCATTTTAAGTCCACAAGATCCAACCTTTATGTTATTTACCTTTAGATCCAGCCCTTTTGTCCCTAAATCTTCTTGGTGTGAGAATCTGGATGGTTGAATCTCATAAAGTTGGCAACTTTATGGATCCATGTGATCATTCTAGTGTTATATGTTCCATATCGGAGGATCTATGTAGTTTTTGGCTCCATGCTCAAGTTTATGCCTTTATTGTCATGTTTTTGACCTAAAATGGAAGGGGCGTGCATTGGACATGCATATCCATAAAAGCTACGATTTTAGAGCTTATTTAGAGCATGGAATCATTTTAGAAACTTTGGATGTGCAACTCTAGAGATTTGGTGCTTAATAGGTGTATTTATGCTTTTTGTCACTCTTAAGGAATTAGGGTTTGGGATCTTAACCTATTAAGGAGTCTTAATGGATAAAGTAGGAAACTTTATCCATCAAGACCATGAGAAGGACCAGAGCTTAGCTTTGGAGCTCTTGATGTTGGAAAAATGACTTAATGGTTAAGTTCTCCAAGCTAGTCCCCACGGTGTGGCCTTAGGTTGCTACAACGTGGCGACTTGGTAGAGACCCGTTTACCTTGGCGTTTAGCAACCACGGCGTGGCCAAGGATG